CAATGGGAGAAGTGCTTAGCTTTGGGTTCAATCTTGCGGTGTCCTTTCCCAATGACAGTAGGGGCAGCAAGGCACGTATTGTATTGTTGCCATCAAGGATAAAAAGATGGGGTTTATATCATTTTGTTTGAGTTTATCCCTCTACATCATGTCATCTTGCTTAAAGCGTTACTCTATTCTTATGAACTTAATACTCTAGATGCATGCTGGATAGCGGTCGATGTGTAGAGTAATAGTAGTAGATGCATAATCGTTTCGATCTACTTGACACGGACGTGATGCCTATATTCATAATCATTGCCTAGATATTCTCATAATTATGCGCTTTTCTATCAATTGCTCAACAGTAATTTGTTCACCCCCCGTAATACATGATATCTTGAGAGAAGCCACTAGTGAAACCTATGGCCCCCTGAGTCTCTTTATTATTATACTGCATCTCTTTTATTTACATCGCATCTCATTTACTATTTCGCAATCTTTACTTTCCAATCTCTACAACAAAAATACCAAAAATATTCACTTTACTATCTTTATCAGATCTCACTTTTGCGAGTGACCGTGAAGGGATTGACAACCCATTTATCGCGTTGGTTGCAAGGTTCTTGATTGTTTGTGCGGGTACTAGGTGACTTGAGCGTTGTCTCCTACTGGATTGATACCTTGGTTCTCAATAACTGAGGGAAATACTTACGCTACTTTGCTGCATCACCCTTTTCTCTTCAAGGGAAAACCAACGCATGCTCAAGAGGTAGCATGTAACTCTTTTGCGGTGTGTTTGTTGGGATCCAGTGAACTTTGAGTTTATGATCAAATCTATCTTTTAATATCCATGAAATTTATTTGAGTTTCTTTGATCTCTTATATGCATGATTGCTTATAGCCTCGTATTTCTTCTATGATATTTGGGTTTTGTTTGGCCAACTTGATCTATTTATCTTGCAATGGGAAGAGGTGCTTTGTAGTGGGTTCGATCTTATGGTGCTTGATCCCAGTGGCAGAAAGGGAAACGACACGTATGTATCGTTGCTACTAAGGATAAAACGATGGGGTCTATCTCTACATAGATAGATCTTGTCTACATCATGTCATCGTTATTATTGCATTACTCTGTTTCTCCATGAACTTAATACACTAGATGCATGCTGGATAACGGTCGATGTGTGGAGTAATAGTAGTAGATGCAGGCAGGAGTCGGTCTACTAATCTTGGACGTGATGCCTATATAATGATCATTGCTTGGATATCATCATAATTATTTGAAGTTCTATCAATTGCCCAACAGTAATTTGTTTACCCACCGTTTGCTATTTTTCTCGAGAAAAGCCATTAGTGAAACATACACCCCCCAGGTCTTCTTTCTCATATATTTGCCTTTGTGATCTATTTTCCTTTGCTTTTATTTTCAGATCTACTAAACCAAAAACCCAAAAATACCTTGCTGCACTTTATTTTATTTGCGATCTATTTATCCAATCTATTACAACTTTTTTCCGTCACACACCAATTTCTGGCACCGTTGCCCGAAAGGGATTGACAACCCTTTTAACACGTCGGGTTGCGAGGATTTGTTATCTGTGTGCAGGGGCTATTTACGTTGTGTTGCTTGGTTCTCCTACTGGTTCGATAACCTTAGTTTCATATATGAGTGAAATACCTACCGCTGTTTTGCTGTATCATCCCTTCCTCTTTGGGGAAATACCGACATAGCTTCAAGCGACATCATGGTCGGGCTTTGAGTCTGACTCAATTTCACACCTTGTAACACAGGCAAGAACCCTTTCTTTGACTGATCCATTTTGAACTTCTTCAAAACTTTTTCATGGTATGTGCTTTGTGAAAGTCCTATTAAGCATCTTGATCTATCCTTACAGATCTTGATGCCCAATATGTAAGCAGCTTCACTGAGGTCTTTCATTGAAAAATTCTAATTCAAGTATCCTTTTATGCTATCCAGAAATTCTATATAATTTCCAATCAACAATATGTCATCCACATATAATATCAGAAATGCTACTGAGCTCCCACTCACTTTTTTGTAAAAACATGCTTCATCATAAGTCTGTATAAAACCATATGCTTTGATCACATCATCAAAGTGTATATTCCAACTCTGAGATGCTTGCACCAGTCCATAGATGGATCGCTGGAGCTTGCACACTTTGTTAGCACCTTTAGGATCGACAAAACCTTCTGGTTGCATCATATACAACTCTTCTTTAAGAAATCCATTAAGGAATGCAGTTTTGACGTCCATTTGCCAGATTTCATAATTATAAAATGTGGTAATTGCTAACATGATTCAGACAGACTTAATCATCGCTACGGGTGAGAAAGTCTCATCGTAGTCAACCCCCTGAACTTGTCGAAAACCTTTTGCGACAAGTCGAGCTTTGTAGACAATGATTACCATCAGCATCTGTCTTCTTCTCAAAGATCCATTTATTCTCAATGGCTTGCCGATCATCGGGCAAGTCCACCAAAGTCCATACTTTGTTCTCATACATGGATCCTATCTCATATTTCATGGCCTCAAGCCATTTATCGGAATCTGGGCTCATCATAGCTTCTTCATAGTTCGTAGGTTCGCCATGGTCTAATAACATGACTTTCAGGACAAGATTACCGTACCACTCTGGTGCGGAACATGTTCTGGTCGACCTACGAGGTCCAATAGTAACTTGATCCAAAGTTTCATGATCATTATCATTATCTTCCTCTCTAGTTGGTGTAGGCAAAATTGGAACGGTTTTCTCTAACGTTCTACTTTCCAATTCGAGAGAAGGTACATTTACCTCATCAAGTTTTACTTTCCTCCCACTCACTTCTTTCGAGAGAAACTCCTTCTCTAGAAAGGACCCATTCTTGGCAACAAAGATCTTGTCTTCAGATCTGTGGTAGAAGGTGTACCCAATAGTTTTTAGGGTATCCTATGAAGACACACTTCTGCAATTTGGGTTCGACCTTATCAGGCTGAGGCCTTTTAACATAAGTGTCGCACCAATATGACCAATATGACCTAAACGGCAATGCCACAAGTATGTTGCACTATCATTATCAACTTTGCATCTTTTGTCATCAATATTATGAATATGTGTATCACTATGATCGAGATTCAACAAGAATAACCATTCATCAAGGGTGCATGACCATAAAATATATTAGTCATATAAATAGAACAACCATTATTCTCTGACTTAAATGAATAACCGTCTCGCAATAAACAAGATCTAGATATAATGTTCATGCTCAACGCTGGCACCAAATAACAATTATTGAGGTCTAAAACTAATCCTGAAGATAGATGTAGAGGTAGCATGCCGATGGTGATCATATCGACCTTGGAACAATTCCCGACGCGCATCGTCACCTCGTCCTTAGCCAATCTTCTTTTATTCCGCAGCTCCAATTTCAAGTTACAAATATGAGCAACTGAACCAGTATCAAATACCCAGGAGCTACTACGAGCATTAATAAGGTACACATCAGTAACATGTATATCAAATATACCTTTGTTCACTTTGCCATCTTGCTTATCCGCCAAGTATTTGGGGCAGTTCCGCTTCCAGTGACCATTCCCTTTGCAGTAGAAGCACTCAATTTCAGGCTTGGGTCCAGCTTTGGGCTTCTTCATGGGAGTGGCAAACGTTGGGTCGGGTCGGGCTTGTAAAAGCTCGACCTTCCTTTCTCAAGCCCGAGCCTGACCCGAAATCAAGTCCGAGACCCGAAAAGCCCGACCCGGATGTTGTTTCCTAGTGTACACACGTGCAAGCCCGGCCCGATATACAGAAAAAGAGAAGCTCGAGTCCGGCCCTAACTACCTGCCAGGCTGCAAAACAAGGCCCGAGCCCGGCCCGGCTTGGCTGTCCATGCCTGGGTTTAGGTTAGACTACTTAATGCTATAGGGGTTCTTTGGATCATAGCCCTGAGGTTGCCGCACCAAAAAATTGGCGTTAACTGCTAGGGCAGGTGATTGCTTGGTTGGACACCAAAAATTTGAAGCCACGCCAAAATATTGGATGGTTGTTCAGTTTTTGCGCCCACGAGCTGGCAAAACGCCGGCAACGGATTCCCTCGCCAATATATTGGCACGCCAGCTATTGGCAGGGCAGGCGCGACCGGGATTCAGACAACCCCATAACAACAATGGTTGGGGAATTGCTTGATATAGAGAATGGGAACTGGGATATGCATGCAGATGCATGCTGAAAACTTGGTTGAGCCAGATGTGTCCATGATCACTATAATCCTAGTTGGAAGAGCATAGGAGGCCCTGTGGGCGTGTCACTCGTAGATGCTAGGAAATTTATTTGTCATGTTAGCTTACAAATTGATTTTGGAAGTCATACGAGATACTGAATCAACCTCGAGCTCAGGAGGAAAGGATAAGATATTTTGGAAGAAATTGTGGCTCTTGATACCCCTCGAAGTGTGGATTTTTTTGGTTGTGTGTGATTAAGGTTTTGTCCCTTCCATATCATCGAAGGCATATTGAGCAGATCAGGTTTTGTGAAGCTTGCAAACAAGATTAAACGACATGACATGTTTTTTTCGTGTACATGGGCTAAGCTGTTCTAGCAGGAGATCATATAAAACTACTAGTCCTACACCCTGAAACTTGGTTGGTGAACACTTTCGAGGGAATCGAGGAGACAGAACCTGGCACATGCGCTTTTTTATGTGGTTGCTATCTGCCGGCCAATTTGGTCAGAAAGAAATGCAAGACCACATGGAGAGAGTTCCCAACCCATCAAGCAGCCCGTCAAATGGGCTTTGGATGTGGTGAGTGACCTAGCTGAAACAGACAAACAAACAACTGGTTAGAGCTGTTAAAGATCCCATGCGATGGAAACTCCCGTCATGTCTTTCTTAAAGATCAATGTTGGTGCCTCTTTTTATGAGGAAACTCACCATGGAGGCATGGGACAGAGGAGTTCGTGACCATTAGGGCAAACTTATCTCGTGCATAGGGCCTTTGATACGATGATGGGTTCTCGGCAATGGCCATGGAGGCATTTGCAGTCCCAGACGATGTCGAGCTTACGCTTGATCTAAGATATAGAACGGTGATAATTGAAATTGATGACCAATTAGTGGTAAGTTGGTGGAACACTTCAAGTGTCGATTGCTCGGAGATTGGTAGTACCTTGAAGGAAATTCAAGAGCTTTGCGGGAATTTCGAGGAATTTCGTCTTTGTCTTTACGGTGAGGGAAGCTAATGAACTAGCACATCTTTACGATAAACAATGTAGTTCTAGGATACATTGTCTTTGGATCAATTATATCCCGGTTTTTTCTCACGGATTGTGTGAGAAAGGAGTGTAATCCCACTATTTGATCAATAAAGCTCTTGATTTCATCAAAAAACATCCCGCAGAAAAAAGATTTCATCAAAAAACAAAAAACCAAACGAGATTTTTTTGTGAGTATTTTTTTTGAGGGGGTCATCATTGTAATTGAAACGAGATTTTTTTTGTGAGTAAACCAAGGAAAATGAGTGTCGAGCATCATTTTTGCCTATTCAGCCCATCTAGGCCCATGCATGGATAGGACCATTTCCAAGCCTGGAGGCCCAGCCAGCCAGAGTCACTGGCCATCCCAGGCTCCTCGCAATCGCAAGGGCACAACCCTCGAAAGCCGAGTCGCAGCAGATCGGTTAAATCACCCCCAAAACGCACCCACCACCACAACTCCGGCGGCGGCGACCAGACGAACACGAGCACGAAGGCGATGGCGACTGCTCTCAACCGCGGCCTCCGCTCCGGGATCCGCCTCCTCGCCACCGGCGCCGAGGCCTCCAAGCCAGGCAAGTACCCCCCCTCCCACTATCCCTCCTCTATTATCCGATTGGGGTTTGAATGATGCGATCCGCGTCTCCGGCTGTGTACTTCTGCCCATCTCGATTGATGTGTATCTGCGCAGCGGTAGATCTGTTTGACCCGTGGAAATTACTCGGAATCTGTAACCGTAGTACCGGGCTGTTTTGGGATCGTTAATATAATTTGGGGAAATGGTTCGTCATAGGCTAAAATGGCCCCTCAGATGTGGATATGGCTGTGGTTTTCGATTGAACTGGTTATTATATAATCAGTTTTTTACATTGTCCTTCTTTGATGGATGGATCCAGCGACTAGCCTTGTCAGGAATGAATATGGGTGGGGAGTACTAGAAGGACTGACACACAATTTGTTGACTGACCATTTTATCATTCATGAACTGACGTACTACACCGATAACTTAGACTGTTAGCTGTGATGACAGTGTAACAAAATTTGATTGTAATGTCTATTTCTTGGCAAGCCGCATGAGTTGCGTATTGCTGTAAATATGGACAAAGAGTGATGTTGATGAAATTTAGGTGAGTATCGTGTGAGTTGTAGATGCTCATAAAGGATTATCGGACATGCGTTCTTAGAGACAAGAACCAGACAAAATATATTTCTGAACTAGCAGCTTGATCATTTTTAATTGGCAATTTTGCATTGCTAGTTTGTTCATCTCTATGCAAGAAAAACAGGAAACAGACTACCAGTATTTCAATACTTATCTTTCTGTGAGGAAAATACTACATAGCTTATGGCATTTAATCCTATTTCCTTGTCAGTTAGAGTCTCATAATTATGTGTATGCTACATGAGTTGCATTCATCTTTTGTTACTAAATAATAAAATGTGTATCTTATGGCAGTGAAACAACTTCTGTTCATAATTTGTAGTGTTTAATTCTTGGCAAGACACATGAGTTCTGTCTTGCTGTAGATAGGGACAAAGACTAAAATTTATGGAATGTACATGAGAATTACGTGAGTGGCAGGTGCTCCTGAAAGAACATTACACATGCATTCTTTTTTTTTGTGCGGGTGACGAAAAAGAATACCACTCAATATGTTTCTTAACTACCAGCTTTAACCAAATCACTTTCAAGCTTACTGGCAACCTTGTACTGCTAGTTTGCTCATCTATATGCCGAAACAAAACATAGCCTGCAAAGCGTTTCATGCTAAAATATTACTCTTCTTATGACACTGTAACCCTTTTTGCTCATCTGTTTTCTAATACTTGGTAGGATGTTTGATTTGTGCTGACTGTTAACATGGACAAGTAATAAAGGTCGATAGAATTTAGGTGATCATCATGCGAGCCACAGATGCTCATACATGATCATCACCCATACACCTGGGAGACTAGTACTGTTACATGATACTGTTCACCCTTTTTGCTCATCCATGTCCTAATTCTTGGTAGGCTGCTTGAGTTGCTTTCTGCTGTAAATATGGGCAAATAATAAGATTGATGGAATTTAGGTGAGCATCATGTGTCATAGAAGCTCATAAAGAACCATCACACATACACCTGGGAGACTAGTACTGTGACATGATACTGTTAACCCTTTTTGCTCATCCATGTCCTAATTCTTGGTAGGCTGCTTGAGGTGCTTTCTGCTGTAAATATGGACAAATAATAAGGTTGATGGAATTTAGCTGAGCATCATGTGTCATAGATGCTCATAAAGAACCATCACACATACACTTAGAGACTAATAGTCGGATTCTGGCATGTCATCAATATCCACCAGGGTTTTGGTGCTTGTGATTTCTATTTGTTCTTCTGTGCTTTACATAGCCTCTTATTTATTTGTATCTTCATGTGTGTTTTAATTATCGATTTGTTTTGGATTTTCGTTGCTACTAGTATTCCTTCTGTACTAACTGACATGCTGGACACGACTTTTGTCTTAACTCATCAATTATGCTCGAAAATAGTAAAAATGATACTAATGCAGAATTCTTGGCATAAGGCAGTGGACCTCATGGATCATTATAAACACTCTAGAGGTGACTACAGCAATGCAGCATGAAAATGTGAAGAACTGAAGTTTGCTGTGGTAGTTTAGGAGAACTGGGCATGTTAGTTGTGGGGATTGAATGAGTTGCGAACTCCTTTTTACATCTCTAAATTCGCTCATGCTTGCTGATTACCTGTTCTTTGTGTGTACATCAGCTTCACGTGGATTCCATGCTACCGGCGTGAAGAGGATGTCAGGGCACGGCCATGATGAGCCATACTACCTCCACGCCAAGCACATGTACAACTTGCACAGGATGAAGCATCAGAAGCTGACTGCATGGACTTCAGTGCTGGGAGCCGTAAGCATTGGTGTCGGTGTCCCGGTCTTCGCGGTCATCTTCCAGCAAAAGAAAGCCTCCGGATGAGCTCACATACCCTCCCAGGGCCTACTTATTGGACCTATTTTGAATTTAGCATTTTGTGAAGCCAAAGCTGTCACTTCACTTGACTCTTGTTGTTTCGTGTTACTCCATTTGCTGTTAGCAGATGATCTGAATCTGTAAGCTCGTTTCTTTACGGCACTGCTTTTCTGTTAATAATACAAGTGGCTTGAACTTTCCAGGCTGTGGAGAAACCCTGCAGTGTGATCCAATTCTTGTTTGCGTTCCTCTTGGCACCTGTTGACGCCTCTTTTGCACTTTGCATCTCTTTATATGCTGTCAGATAATGATTGTGTAGTTTGGTATAATCTGGCGAAAATTGCTCAAATCATGTCTGATGGATTCTTGGCGGAAATCGCGAAGTGTAAAATTGCAAGATGGCGAAAGAGGCAGATTCAAACTTTCAACTCTTTAATGTTTGTGTGGTGGTATAAGCCTGTACTTCGGCTTGGTACTTGTTCGCTTATGTTCTACTGATGATGAATTTTAATTTTGTTTTTGAGCCTATTAAGTATTTTATAGTTCAATTGGTAAGTGAGGTAAAACATGAGAGCTTGGGTATTACAGTTATACTAAGCCTGCGGCAATTAATTTGGATTGGAGGGAGTAGATGTTACATTTGGCGTTGCAGCGGACTACGGGGCCTAACAAATTGCTCCTACCCATTTCGAGATCAGGAAAGAAAAAAAAAACTTAGGCCGACATGGCTCATCAAATGCGAATTTGCGTTCCTCTTTTTCAGAAGAAGAAGGGGCATAAATGAACTTTTCCCCCAATAAACCCCTTCTTCCATCAAGACAGGCAGACAGTTCCGTGGGCACCAGAACCACACCCCTTCCCGTTCAGACGCGGCGGAAGATCGAATCGGCCGCGCACGGCGATGGCGACGACTCCACCGCCGCCGCCGCTTCCTCTCCTCCTCCTTCCCCTCCTCCTGCTCGCGGCCTTCTCCGCCGCCGAGGAGTTTCCGCGCGACGGGAAGGTGATAGACCTGGACGACAGCAACTTCGAGGCGGCCCTCAGCTCCATCGATTTCCTCTTCGTCGACTTCTACGCGCCATGGTGCGGCCACTGCAAGCGCCTCGCCCCCGAGGTACTGCTGCTACTCGACCTCACACCTAACTGACCCTGTTACTTACCACTGCTCCCGAGAGGTGTGATGCGAATTGAGTTGTTTCGACTGTCCAGTATGCGAAGTGAGATGCCGCTGTGGATCTCGGCAATTGCGCGAGTTTTTTGGAAGTAGGGTAATTGAGAGTTTCGGATCGCAAGTCATTACCGGGATCTCTTGGGACTCTAGCAGGTTAGGGCGAGACCGTACAAAGTGAAATTTTATTTTAGGATTCTTATGTAGCGACCTAAATGTCAAGTGGACAATGAAATGGCACGCACCATCACTTCAATTAAGGTAGATTACTATGTGGAAGAACGGAAATTGTTGTAGCACGCCCTACCAAAATTTGCCAACCATTGGCTAGAGATTCCTTGACCCTTTGTTGGACAAAGTTTGGCAAGATTTGTAAAGAGAATGTGTGGAGAGTTGGCAAGATTCCATTGGCATCCCAACCAATTAAGATTCAAAGAAACATAGTCTGCCAACATTTTGGTACGGTAAAGGTTGGCACCAACCAAACAGACCCAGACCCATAGGTGTATCAAGATGTTTCTTTCTTGACCTTAACTAGATCCTCAAATTTTACATTTTCTTATTTCAACTGTTATAAAAGCAGGGAACTTTGGAGTATCTGTCTTGTAGGACTTAAGACTGAGAAAATGAACTGTTGCAGTTAGATGAAGCTGCACCGGTGTTGGTGGGATTGAGTGAGCCCATCATGGTTGCCAAAGTAAATGCCGACAAGTACAGGAAGCTTGGATCAAAATATGGAGTGGAGTAAGTGTTCCGCCCATAACTAGTCTGGGTTTAGAGATTTGTACATGCTATCATTATGATGTTCTTTATTTTTCTTCTGAGTGCAGTGGGTTCCCTACTCTAATGCTCTTTATACATGGGGTCCCTATTGAATACACTGGTTCAAGGAAAGCTGACTTGCTTGTCCGCAATCTTAAGAAGTTTGTTGCGCCTGATGTTTCTACTCTTGAGTCGGATTCTGCAATCAAGAGCTTTGTTGAGAATGCCGGCACAAGCTTTCCGATGTTCATCGGTTTTGGGGTCAACGAGTCATTGATTGCTGAATATGGAGGAAAATACAAGAAAAGAGCATGGTTTGCCGTCGCAAAAGATTTTTCTGAGGACTGGATGGCGACATATGATTTTAATAAGATCCCAGCATTGGTTGCAGTTCATCCAAAGTATAATGAACAAAGTGTGTTCTATGGCCCATTTGAAGGTAATTGTTAGGAAGCATTATTTTATTCCCTCCTTATGTCTATTATTCACAGTTTCTAGTTTCTTGAATCTGAGTGGTAATTTGACTAACATGTACTCCCTCCGTTCCTAAATATTTGTCTTTTTAGAGATTTCAAATGGACTACCACATACGGATGTATATAGATATATTTTAGAGTGTAGATTCACTCATTTTGCTTCGTATATAGTCGCTTGTTGAAATTTCTAGAAAGACAAATATTTAGGAACGGAGGGAGTAGAAACTTTTTAATATCTTATCGTCCCACGTTTATGAGGCTAGTAAATGGCGGTCTTGTTGTGTACACAGGACGTTTCTTGGAGGATTTTGTAAGGCAATCGCTGCTGCCTTTGACTGTCCCCATCAACACCGAGACACTGAAATTGCTGGATGATGATGACAGAAAAGTTGTCCTCGCAATTTTGGAGGATGACTCGGATGTAAATTCTACCCAGCTGGTAAAAATTTTGAGGTCTGCTGCTCATGCGAACCGTGATTTGGTGTTTGGATATGTTGGAGTCAAACAATGGGAGGAGTTTGTGGAGACTTTTGATGTTTCCAAGAGCTCACAATTGCCAAAGCTGCTAGTGTGGGACAGAAATGAAGAGTATGAACTAGTAAGTCTAACACTTACCTCAGTAATCTATTCTTGTTCCAGCTACCAGCATCCCAATGAAACCACCTTTAGTGTATCACTGTTCATCGGCGTGCTTATATTGGTTATATCGTATTCGGTAGAAGCGATATGTTTAGTCCTTTCATATTTATATGGTATTTTAGAAGTTTGAAAATTAGATATAGAGGTATGGTTAAAAATATTGAAAAGAAATACGGAAGTGTGTTTTTTAACCTGCTATTTCTGCTTAGCTTGTCAGCATCCGTTTTATAGTTCGCCATGTCGTGTAACTGACTAAAAATGCTTCTTGCGAAGGTGGAGGGTTCAGAGAAGTTAGAAGAAGGCGACCAAGCATCCCAATTAAGCCAATTCCTTGAGGGATATAGAGCAGGGAGAACAATAAAGAAGAAAGTCAGTGGCCCTTCCTTCATGGGTTTCATGCACTCTCTTGTCAGCATGAACTCATTATACATTCTCATGTTTGTTGTTGCTCTTCTCGGTGTCATGATGTACTTTACTGGCCAAGATGATACTCAGCCAAGACGGGTTCATGACGAGTGATAGCTTCTTGCATGAAAAGAAGGTTATCAACCAGGAGTTCTAGCTCGGAGGTCGTATTGCCACCTTTGAACTGTTGTTAGCCCTGAAGAGGTCAGGTTTTAGCGGTTGCTTGTGATATTCGCCGTTTCTCTGTCAGCAATCATCAGGTCCTGCATTTTCTCTGCCCCCGTTTCTGTTTGTTGGTTAGAGCTTAGCAACTAGCCCCCATGTAAAGCTAGAAACACTTCCTAATTTTGCCACTTGTGTGGAGTTTTTATTTATTTTATTGCGAGGGTTATATGGTGTATCATACTCTGCCAAACTTTTGTACAACTGAACTGATACAAGTATTAATAATGTGTGAATTGTGATCCGCTCTGTTCTTCATTTTGTCACTAAAACGGGCCCTTCTGTCCAGATTTTTCTTTGTTTGTTTTGTCAACTCTTCAGCAATGAGAAGATGAGTATTACAGTATCAGGTTTAGTTCAACACTAGAGTTTCCGGCTGGATATGTATTGCAAGATCAGTCATCAATGAATAGATGTGTACTCCCTCCGTAAACAAATACATGAGCATACTCCTATTTGTTTACGGAGGAAGTATTAAACATCCATGTACTTGTTGGAAATATGAGCAAATTACTATGAGATTTAATCTGAATAAACATATGATAAATCATGACAGCAATAGCAGAGATTAAACTAATCATGCAAACTAGCATAGTAGATGAACAAATTACATCTAAGGCACATACTAGAAACATGAATTCTACCATGATCTCGAACAAGAAGGATAGAATCACATACGGTGCAGCGGGAGCAGCACCGACGACATTGAAGTTGTCGCCCATGTCGTCGAGGATGAGGTTGCCGAGGTCGGGAAAGAAGTCATCGTTGGCGAAGTCGTCGCTGCCAGCAGTCGCGCGAGTACGCTCCCCAAAAACCTGATCGCCCCTCTCCCGTACAGGAGGGATGGAGAAGACTTACTTGGCGGCGCAATGATCTGGAACGGTGGTGCGAAACCATACGATGCGGCGACGGCTAGGGTAGACGTCTGCCTGACTATATAGTGCGGATTGAGTAGGTTGTGGGAGTAAAACCCACGTCTGAGTCGCGATCCAACGTCCGTTAATTATTAATTAATGACTCATTATTCTTTTCCGAGCAGCAAAAATATAGACAACGTGCATATCCCAGTCCTCGGCTCGGCTCAATCCCGCAATCCGCGGCGCGACGCGTCGTGACGAGGCGAGGCGAGGGAGGAGGAGCACGCGTGTAGGTCTCCTCTTCTCATGCTCATACAAGTGGTAGAAGAGCCCACCTTATAAAAAAGTGTAAACTCTCACTCAACTTACATGGTGGGACTAAACTTTAGTCTCACTCACTTCACTCACATGTGTGCATGAATGGGCCAAGAGAATTTCAGAATTTTAGTTGAGCTTTGAGCCAAAGGCCTACTAGCAAAATTCTAATAACCCCACACAAGTCTCATTGGCACATCTCATCATTTAGTTCCAAAACATTGTTTATATACCGGTGCTCAGTGGAGACTGTAAAGTTGAACTTCCACTCAGAGATTTATGCTACACCAGATCACAACTTGAATAGTGGACTATGCCTTGAACTACAAATTTTCTGCGAGACTAGTTCCACACAAATTCTTGACCGATACTGGGCTGCCGCAAGGCTTCCTCGCGGGTAGAGCGTATACGTCATACTCCAGGGCCTTTCATGAATTTATTAGAAAACACTCAATTCTCACAGACTGCGACGTTAATATTCAAATTCAGATAGGTGTGTTCCTGAGCAGATGCTCTGCAGGACAACATCTCTACTTACCCGAATAAACCACTTGGAACACATTAAGATAAGTATCAACATGTCATACATATCAGGAGAGTATTGCATCTTCACGGAGTGGGATAATTAATATAGGAATACTCTCCTCCCGGCTAACCAACAGCTTGTCTCCCACTTCTACTTCACGGGATCTCCGATCACATAGAGTGGGTTATCACTATGGACAACTCATGTGGTGGGTCTCATACCCATCTCCATCGATGCATTATCTATCACACTACGTGATAAACCCTTTGTGAAGGGATCAGTCAAGTTTTTTGACATTTGGATATAATCCAACATAATAACTCCGGAGTTCCTCAATTTTCTGACAGATTTTAGTCTCCTCTTCACATGCCTTGAGGACTTCATATTGTCCTTAAAACTGTTTATCTTGACGATCACAGTTTGATTGTCACAGTTCATCAGGATAGGGGGTATTGGTTTTTCAACCATAGGCAAGTCCATCAAGAGCTCACGTAGCCACTCTGCTTCAACAGTGGCAGTGTCTAATACTATAGTTCTGCTTCCATAGTTGACCTCGTTAAGATGGTCTGCTTGCAAGACTTCCAGGAAATAGCGCCACCATCAAGTGTAAAAACATAACCACTTGTGGCCTTAATTTCATCAGCATCAGATATCCAGTTTGAGTCACTATAACCCTCTAGTACCCTTGGATACCCAGTGTAGTGAATCTCATAGCTCGCAGTGCCTTTCAAGTAGCGCATAACTCTCTCAAGTGCATGCCAATGATCATCTCCCGGTTTTGACACAAACCGACTCACTTTGATCACAACAAAAGAGATGTCAGGCCTCCTGGCACTCGCCAAATACATAAGCGAGCCAATAATATGAGAATATATCAGTTGATCTCTAGCAATCCGTCGATTCTTTCAAAACAACACACTAGCATCATATGGAGTTGGAGAAGGCATGCAGTCGCTATACCCAAAACGACTCAAGGTCTTTTCCATATAGTGAGACTGAAGTAGTATGATCCCACCATTCTCATCTCTCAACAGCTTGATGTTTAAGATAACATCAGTTACTCCTAGATCCTTCATCTCAAAACAGCGAGATAAGAAATCCTTAACCTCCTTGATTAGATCAAGTTTGGTTCCAAAGATCAGTATGCCATCGACATACAGACAAAGACTAACTCCTTCACCCCCATCATGGCGATAGTACACACACTTGTCACCATTGTTTACTACAAAGCCGACAACAGTTAATGTTCTTTCAAACTTCTCATGCCACTCCTTAGGAGCTTGTTTAAGGCCATATAAAGACTTTAATAACTTGCACGCCTTTCCTTCCTGACCAGGTACTACAAAACCATCTGGCTGATCCATGTAAATTTCCTCGTTCAACTCTCCATTCAGGAAAGCCGTCTTAACATCCATTTGATGAACGAGAAGACCATGTGAGGCAGCCAATGATAGTAGCACCCGAATTATGGTTAGTCTAGCCACGTGTGAGTAAGTATCAAGGAAATCTTCACCTTCTTTCTGGGTATAAACCTTAGCCACAAGCCGTTCCTTGTACTTTTTAATCGTACCATCAGGTCTAAGTTTCTTCTTGAACACCCACTTACATCCTAAAGGTTTGCACCCATACGGGCGGTTAATGATCTCCCAGGTTCCGTTAGCTAAGATGGAATCCATCTCGCTACGAACAACTTCCTTCCAGTAGTCAGCATCTGGAGATGCATAGGCTTCTGAAATAGTCCTTGGTGTGTCATCCACAAAGTACACAATGAAATCGTCACCAAAGGACTTTGCAATCCTCTGCATCTTACTCCTCACAGGAGTTTCATTGTCACCCTCAACAGAATTCTCAACGTGTTCCATCGCAATGGTGGGTTCAGGAATTACAACGAATTCCTCACTAGATGGAGTAGGTATCTCCTGATTTGATGAACTCGACATATCCTTCATAGGAAATATGTCCTCAAAAAAAGTTGCATCATTTGACTCCATAATCGTACCAAAATGCATGTCGGATACCTCAGATTTTATTATCAAAAATCTATAACCAATACTATGAAAAGCATAGCCCAGAAGAACACAATCCACAGTTTTTGGTCCAAGCTTGCGCTTCTTGGGAATTGGTATATTGACTTTCGCCAAACAACCCCAAGTACGTAGGTAAGAGAGTTTCAACCTTTTCCTTTCCCATTCCTCAAATGGAGTCATGGTCTTATGCTTTGTGAGAACTCAGTTTAGGACATGACACGCAGTCATTAGCGCCTCCCCCCATCATTCCTTGGAGAGACCCGATGTGTTTAACATGGTGTTAACCATATCAGTTAGAGTTTGGTTCTTTATTTCGGCTATCCCATTTGACTGAGGTGAGTAGGGAGGTGTCCTCTCATGGATTATACCATGTTTCGCACAAAACAAATCAAATTCATTGAAAAAATACTCTCCACCACGATCAGACCGAAGCCGTTTAATTTTCCGATCAAGTTGGTTCTCTGCCTCAGCTTTATAGTTTTTGAAGGAAGTTAAAGCCTCATCTTTTGATTTCAGAAGATACACATAACAATATCTAGTGGAGTCATCAATCAAAGTCATGAAGTATCTCTTTCCACCTTTTGTCAACACGTCATTCATCTCACAAAGATCAGAATGTATAAGCTCTAGTGGTGCCAAGTCTCTTACCTCTGCAGTCTTATGGGACTTGAGAGGTTGCTTAGCTTGCACACATACTTGAAACTTGGAGCCTTTGATAGTAGAGATTTTCGGAATTAAATTCATATTGGCTAGCCGAGTCATGCAACCAAAGTTAATATGACAAAGTCGTGAATGCCAAATATCACTCATTATTGCGACAAACATTATTAATAACTTTAGTGCAAATATCTGACAAAGATAGGCGGAACAAGCCTCCGCTCTCATAGCCTTTTCCAACAAATTGTCCATACTTAGAAATTACAACTTTATTGGACTCGAAAACCAACTTAAAACCATCTCGACATAAACGGGAACCGCTAACGAGACTTTTATTGATGGACGACACATGATAAACGTTCTTTAGACACACGGTCTTCCCCGAAGTAAACTTCAGATCAACCATACCGATACCTCGAACGATGGCATGCGACCCATTCCTCATCAGCACGGGAGAAGTCCCTGTGACCTGGTAAGAAGAAAACATGGAGGCGTCAACACAAACATGTA